ATCATCTTGAGACAACTTGAAGAAACAGTCGAAGCAGGGTCTCGAAGCGATGCCTGCATGGGGTTGCGCCGTGGATGAGGTGGCTCTGCCTTGCCTCGGACATAGGATTAAACCCAGATTCGACCATCCTGCTGAAGGGGATCAACAAGTCAATTGTCAACAAGTTGAGTCGAAAGGTGCTCCAACAGCAGCCAGAGCTTCAATTCCGCTGCTCGCTGGTCCGAAGCACCCTGCAGTTGGACACCATCCCAACAAAGGAGACGGTGAGGACCTTCGCGGAGCATTTGCTAGCTGAGTTGGAACAGCTGATGCACAAGGTGAGGCAGCCAGCAACAACAACGAAGCCGACGGCATCTGGCAATCCGCAGGTGAAGTCCATCCAGCAAGAGGAGAAGAAGACTGACTCCCCAACGAAAGGAGTGGGCAGGCACTTCAACACGGAGGCTGGATGTCGGCGTGGCCAGAGCGGTGGAGGGAACAGAGAGGCGTTGCTTTGTCTGTGGTTTTGCAAAGGAGTGCCCGAGAAAACCAACAAAGGGAAAGCCATCTCATGAGGGGAATCCCGAAGGAGAAAAACCATAAGGTCCAGAAGCTCAAGGAGAAGGGCACTGGAGGCGGATCTTCCAACGACTCGGGGACCTCCTTGTCACCGCAAGCTCCGTCGGCCAACCTGTGGGTCTGACCTGGCGGAATCCACGGCAGGAAGTGCAGAGGGACTGAAAGGGGTCTTGGAGGAGGCGCACAAACTCCTTCGAGGCATGAATATGAAGGATGGGCCGGGGGGTAGCCAGACGGACCTCACCAAAGCCCTCAGACAGATCAACAAGGCCGGTGATTCTGGTGGCCCAGGCACCCTTGTTCCGGCCGGTCGACTTGTACGCGACCTGGGATGCAAGATCGAGTGGTCTGGGGAAAGTTGCCGCTTGGTCCATCCAACGAAAGGGAACATTGAGGTGAACATCGAGAACGGCTGCACACAGTTGTCGCATGAAGTGTCCCTGGAGTTGATCAGGGAGTTGGAGGAGGCAAGATCCCGACAGCTCTCACTTCCTACCGCTTCGGGGAATCTCACACAGATGTGGATTGGATGGAGAGGGTAGTCTATGAGTGCCCAATCTTCCAGAACATCCCGCTCCCCATCAAGGACAGGCTGGCAGACACTCCTGCAAGGGACCTGGACATCCTCGGGGCTGAAGCAAGCTGGGGGTGATACTACAAGGCTGCTGGAGGTGGACATCCTACGTGATCAACGACACGACATGTCCAAGGACGACGCCATGTATGCAGCACTACTTCGCATCGCCATGCTGCTGGGGTGGGTTGACGCCGTGATCGGAGGCCCAAATTGCAGAACACAAAGTGAGCTCCGACACCATCCAGTTACTGGACCGCCTGGGCCCTCACGATTCGTGGGACGTGCCTGGGGGTTGGATGAGTTAGATGAGGTGGAGATGGCCAAATGCCACTTGGATGATCTCCTGTTGTTCCGCATGGTGACGCTGTACATCGTGGCCAAGATTGGACGAAATGCACGGTTGGCACTAAGAGAAGTCAACCAGTCTGCACACAGTGGTCAGGTTCTTGATGGAACCGCCGGCAGCTCCCACATGCCGGAAGTCGCGTCGTTCTGGAGGACTGTACCTCAATCTGGACTTGGTCACCTTCAACCAGGGCGCCTACGGTGGCGTGGCGGTCAAGCCTACTTCACTGGCACTTAACCTGGAGTTTACGGTCCCGGAAGATCAAGGACCACCCAAGGCCTTCCTGAAGTCCAAGCATCAAGTGTCGAGCGCAGAGCTGGCGCGTTGGGGCACCGGGCATGATGAGGGAAGTGGCTCGCCGAATCGCTGTTGACATTCAGAAGAAGCGGGTCACGATGAAGGCATTGTCCTGGCAGGAACACCTGGCACAAGGCCATGTACCCTTTCGAAAAGACTGTGCTGTATCGCAGCACCATGTGTCCTGTCCCTGGACCTTACTGGCCCTTTCGTGACAGGCACCGACACCGATGGTGATCCCAAGAAGTACCTGTTGGTTGGCGCGTACACTTGGCCGGTCATGGATGAGACCCCATGGGACGATGTAGAACGGTTAGAAGTCCATCCTGATTGGCCTCAGCTGAAAGAAGAGGAAGCTCTCCGTGACGTGGAGTATGAGGTAGAGCAAGACCTTGCTGCACATGGAGAGGAGATGTCCTACCGACCAACATCGGATGAAGGGGAGACCAAGACCTTGGAGCTGTGGAAGAAGAGGGAGAATGCGAACTACCAGCTGGCTTCAAAGAGCGCTTCGGAGGTGTTGGCAGGAACTCAGGAGCTGTTCAGTCTGTTGAGGAGACATGGATGTCCTGTGGCACGAATCCATACCGATGTTGGGAGGGAGTTTGACAACAATCCCTTCAAGCGATGGTGCATGCAAAGAGGACTAGCTCGGACATTCAGCCCTCCTGATGAGCACCAGTCAAATGGCAGGGCCGAGGCAATGATCGCTTCGATCAAACAACGAGTCCGACGACTTCTACATGCCTCGGAGATGCCAACGAAATCGTGGCCGGCGGCGGCAAGGCATGTTGACGGTGACGGAGCTGGAGAGAAGGCGCAAGGAGAACATCAAGGAGAAGCTTCCGCACTTTGGGCAGCTCATTACCACTCGCAAGCGAGCCTGGGAACGTGGGGGACCACTCCTACACCGGAGGTATCCAAGGGGCACGCGGTGTTGACCGACAAGGAGAAGGTCAAGGTGGTGAGCTACCTGATCAAAGACGTCAAGGAGCCGAAGAGCAAGAGGATTGCCTCCCGGAGGGGACAGATGAAGATCCCAACAAAAGAAAAAGGCTGGCGTTGATCAAAGATTTTGACTCGTTTGGGCCTGGTGAAGGAGGGAGAGATGTGGCTGGTTGAACGGGCACTATATGGGCTGAGGGAGTCTCCGAAACTCTGGCAAGATTACCGAGACATTGAGATCCGTCAAATGTCCTTTCAGGCCAACCACATCACCTATGAGTATCGACAGAGCTTTGCAGAGGAGAACCTGTGGCTGGTGCGTCGACGAGACTCAGAAGATGGGGCGAAGGTCGAAGGACTAGCTCTTAGTCTTGTCTACGTTGATGATGTCATGCTGTTTGGCCCAAAGAATATCGTGGAAGGAGGACTTCAAAGCTTTCGGAGGACATGGGAGACCTCAGAACCCACGTCAATTGGAGAGGCTGAACCAGTGCGCTATTGTGGCATGGAGCTGAGCAGGACTGAGCAGGGTCGCCAACCAATGTTCCTACTTGCCGGAAGTGGTTCGATGGCATGGAAGATCTCAGCAGCGCTCAGGTCATGAAAGAATCCCAGGAGCCGGAAGATGAGCTAGATCGGACACCTGCACAGGTAAGAAAAGCCCAACAGCTTGGTGGTGAATTGCTCTGGCTGGCAACAAAGACGAGACCAGACATCGCTTACGTGGTGAGCAGGATTTGCTCAGCAACCAGCGGAGCACCATGAATGCAACTCAAGGACTGGGCTTGTGGTATAGGCGGGACGCCAATCTCATCCTCGAGTCGGTCAGCGATGCCTCTTTCGCCCCAGGTGGCGCCATAGCCATGAGTGCGTCATCACGACGCTGAGGCTGAGTTGGTAATTGAGGTCATTGAGGCAGTGGTTGTTGGCGACAGCATCGCATGTCTTGTTGATGAGATGGCCGCAGACATCCCAAAATTCCTCAAGTGTGACAACACCGCGGCAGTGTCGATAGCAAGCTGCGCTACGGGTGCTTGGCGTACCAGACATCTGAAGGCGCGCGCCGCACACTTGAGGTGGAGGGCGCTGAAGTACCAACCTGGACGTGAACTCAACGCCGACATACGGACCAAAGCCCTGCCCGTTGCTCGACTCAACGATTTGAGACAAAGGATGGGAATGTCGTGGCAGCCTGACTCAGTCGATGAGATCCACGCCGAAGTATCGCCTGGAGAAGGTAGTGAGAATCGCAGCAGTACTTTCTGCCCTGCAAGAAGTCCATGGTGCCATGGCTGAGAATGTCACCAAGGAGGTGGATGACCACACGAAGGGTGACCAGATACTGTACCTCCTCAGCGTCATGATGATGTTGCTGGGAATGGTGCTCATGAAGGTTCTCCAGAAGTGTCGGAACAGATGGAACTCAGGGGATGAGGAGGAGCCTATTGCTGTGAGGTCTATGAGGGCACACCCGACTGGGACTTCATCGCGGTCGAGGCCTACGTCACTGGGAAGGGGCGCAACTTCACCCGGGCCAAGGACATGGGAGGGTCCAACTTTATCAAGGTCGAGACCTACGGCACTGGAGGGAGATGGAACTTCAGCGACCACAAGGCCAACGGCTCGATCAGGTGATCATCCAATGGCATCGTCAATGGAGTCCATGAGTTCGGCGGAGGCACGAGGGAGGGCATGGGTGCGCTCTTTGGATGCCCAGTCGTCGAACGGGGAGGCCACTGCGGCGCATGCCAGTGGCCGACGCAGCAGCAGAGGCCATTCTGCAAGACCACGAACCTCCACACCGACCCGAGGTGCGGAGCTGTCACCGGCACGATGCTGGAAATCCGGCAGTGCAAGGTGTGTGGAATAGCGGCTTGAGCACAAGGCCGGACTTTTCCAAGGCTGCTCGAAGTGAGCAGGGAGGAGTGCAGATCCGCAAAGGATGAAACGCACAAATCAAGAAGTGTACAACTTGAAGCCGCTTTTGTGCTCGAAGAAGAGAGCGTGAGGTCAGCACTTTCATCTAAAAAGTTGGGGAGATCCACATTCGTATATCTCGAGTTTGCCTTTACTCAAACACAAACATACACACACATTTGATGGTTCTTCTCCCGAATGATCTTCACAATCTTTAAGACCAGAATCTTCTTTGCTAAGTATATAATCAGTGATCTTTACGTCCGGTCGTTGCTCCATGGAGCCATTCTCCTGGGACTCACAACCTCAAAAGACCAACCGACCCACCCCGCAAACGTCCGGCGCCCAGTCAGGCCTCGCCTGCGCAGAACCAGGCCCACAAAGTGCTAAAAGCTCGGCGGCCTAGGAAAGCTGGAGTTCCAGAAGGGGCCCAGTCAGACACGGCTGTAAGCGAGGGAAAGGTCCTAAGGTAGCAAAAGCATCGGGCCGAATTTTCTTCATCAATTAGTTTGCCCTAGCGAGTCTTTCGATCCAAGAAGAGTGGATCTTTGACTACCCGACCGACCGACCGAACCAAACACCCTACTTGGAAGACCTGCTTGGAAGGACTCACCAAGAAGAGACTGCCCGCAAAAGACCAGCTTTGGCGGATTGGTCTCGTTCAAGGACTTCGATTGTCGGTCTTTAGTGGTCGACCATCAGGTTTTAAAAGCACCCTCCAACAGGCGTTTCCCGGTGACAACTGTCCCAAAGCAGCCTGACATCGCTTCGAGCCTCGTTTCAGTAGTCGTCCGAGTTCTTCCAAGAAGCGCCGTCGTCCCGGGCAAATCGTCGGGCCGGGACCCAGACTTCGGACGTGTCCAAACAAACGGGGTCGGGTCGTGGCCGCCAGGAGTCCAGCCAAGAGGGCGCGGCACTGAGTGCTGACCTCAAAAAACCTAGGCTGTCACAGCTTCTAAGCCGTCCGCACCTTGCCCTGGAGGTGTCCGCAAGGCTTTCATCCCGCAGATCTGGGCCCCCCACGGTGTGGCTCCGGCGCCGGAGGCGGTCCAAGCTCAGTGGCTCCCCTGGCGGAGGTCCGTCCGGGGGAGCAGGAAATGCCTGAAAGGAAGCTCCAACAAGGTTGGTGCCGCCAGTCAGGATTTCTCCTCATTCATTCTCATTGCATTCTCATTCATTCTCATGCATTCTCATTCTCGTTCTTTTTCTCATTATCTCTCTCTCTCTCTCTGTCTGTGCAGAGTCTAGAAGCTAGCAGTGTAGCTGCCGCGGCACCCGTCCCACTAAGACACTCTGGAGGGAATAATGTGGCCGCAGAAGCGCAGAAGCCGTGATTGACGTGATTGACTTGGAGCCCGGGTCAAACATCCTCACAAGGCTGGAAAGCACTTGCGTGGCCTACGTCGTAGATGTGTGGCTTTCTCGGTGTGAGTTGTTTCCAGCAGAATGGCAATTGATGGATGCGGTCGAATTCGAGCTCCCAAGCCATCCTGCTGACCTGATTCAAGCTGTCTCTGGGGCTGCGTGGCATGCACCACCTCAGGCAAAAGCACATCAAAAAGAGCATGGATAATGATCTTAGGATGGATGGAGCTGCACAAACACGCACCCAAAGAAGATGACCAAGACTTCCCCGCAGCAGCTCCAAAAAAGAATTGCTTCTCCATGAGCGTGGCTCTGAATTCATGCATCTGGTACCCTATGGCCCTATGGTGCACAGGCTCTTTCATCTCTGTTACCTTCAGACCTAAAGGGCTTAGCGGGAAGCGTCGTCCAGAGTCGTCCGCAGGCCGTGAGACCAAAACGGATCCCTTTTTGATGCCATGGGGTGGCCAAGGGAAGCACCCGTGACATGCTTCTGCACGTCTTCAGTAGCGGCTGAGGTAACTGCCAGGGTTCGAAGACTCTCAGTGGTACAAATCCTCTCCAGCAGCGCGGCATTGCCACCGCGGAACTCCTCACGGCGGTCGCGGAACTTCTCATGGCGGTCTGCTGATCAACACGCAAATCTGGCGCCTTGATCCATTCCATCTGGACGGCCGTCGCTTGGCTGGAGTTCGGGGGATGTAATGTAGGGTAGAGGAAACTGGTCGTCCAAGCGCCCCTGTTCCACTTCCATAATATGATTCCAGGGGGTGTATATCATATATATATATATATGTAGTGCAGCCCCCCGCCACCCCTCTGTCCCCTCCGTCCTGTAAAAGGTGATCGCCTTGATCGAGTAGCTCGTCGATAGAGTCAGAGACCTGTCGAGAAGCTCTGACGACGGGGCCCGGGGCAACAAGGAAGGCTTCCAAACGAATCCCGCCGCCTGGCCAGCCGAGCCCTGGCCCCTTGCCGGCCGCTGTGCTCTTGGGGATCTTCTTACCAAACAAGCCCCTTCAACCCCGGTGGAGGCCCCCAAAAAAAACAATGTGCAGGAGCTGACTTCAGCGATGTTGCCACTGGCTCAACCCATGGCTACGATGGGTGCATCAAACAAACGAACCCTAGCAGGGCGTTGCGTTGGCTCAAGTTGAAACATATATAACCCAAAATCAAAAACACTCGAACCCACCAATGGGTCAACACTTCGGAGCAAATCTAGCGAGATCTGGTGAATTGTTCCCCGAGCAAGCGGACGTTCCGAAACGACACCCAGCCTGCACCTCCGACACGGGCAGAAACGCCTCGAGCGCCAGCTTCGTTTCAATCTCATCATCCTGTGCCAGACCCCAGGTGTTAGAGGGATGGACGCTGGAGGGATGCAAAAGCACGTGCCAGGGCCTGGATGACAAAGGAAGCACGTAAAAGAAGTAATCTGGAAGATTCTTAGGAGATGACCTGATAGTGCTGTCATCTCAGCACTTGGGTCCGCTGATAGCTATCCCTCTGTCTAGTTGCCACTGAGTATGGATAAAATGGAGCCAAATGCCACTGGTAAGAGTAAATCTGGATGAATTCCCATGAAGAAGAGTGTACCAAGTGGGATGACGATGGTAGGGGCATCGACTCATCTACTGAATAAAACATGAACCTGGAAGCCCACACAACCCGAAACAAATGATAGATGGATGTGTCATGTCATGATGCTTCCACAAGTGTGTATACATACATACATACATACATACATACATACATACATACATACATACATACATACATACATACATACATACATTGCATTGCATTGCATTACATTACATTACATTACATTACATTACATTGTTGTCCTGATTGTATGGATGGTCAGGAGTCTCTCAACTGTCTGTGCAACCATACAATGCGGTACATAGACAGCAAAACGGCTCCAGTTTGTATTGATTGTTATTCTGAGTGAAGTGGGTGCAAAATCCACTACACAAAGCCGGACAAACAGCGCAGCATGTTTTCCAGCGCAAGCTAAAGTGAAAAGCTAGGCTCTGTGCGCACCTGATCCGTAAGGGATGGCGAGCATTCATGACATGCGCTTGTGAACTGGTGGTCGAAACTTCACACTCCCAATACTCTGTTGGCATGAATGCGTATTGGGATGCTTCGCCACTTCCCTCAACTGGATCCACGGGTGCCGAAGCCACTCCATGAAACGCTCGATGAGCTTGTCGCTCAATTTGGTGAGCGTGTCGGCCCACTGGAGGTCCGTCGGGACCCAAAACACGTCTGGACGACCAAGGTGTTGTTGGATGGCCCTGATGACAACGATCGTGCGCTTGTCTTCTGTCTTGGGGTTTTCCGAAATCAGCACGTCGTATAAGCTACGGCAGTCCGTAACACCAATGGTTCGAAGGGTCCGCTCCAGCTTGAAGGCCTTTTCACGGAACATGACTTCTGACAGCAAGTAAGCCATGTACGAGGCGCGGTCGATGCCCATGTCGCATGCGCTTGCTTCTGCAGACAATGTCGACCGGCAAACTCGAGTCGACCTTGAACTCTTCCAGTCAACCAACAGCCCGGTGCTCACTGCATCGGTGCATTGCGGCTCAGCCAAAAGGATCAATGAGCCGTGCTGGGAGGAAGAGCCTTCTGCATTGGCCCATGAGCTATCGCTGTAAGCCACCACCAGCGTCTGCGGTGAAATCTTCACCGGCCACATGCAGATGCCATCGGACTTCGTGGCATGCAAATGCTCAACTGCACGATACAGGTGGTGAAGGTCCTCGTAAGTCGACTTTGTGCCCTTGCTGCATAGCGACACAATGCTTGCCACATCCGGCCTTGTTTGGCCTGCCACCCATTGGAGTGAACCTCCAACCGACCTCAGCTCCGGCATGTCCTGAGGTTCAACCAGCTCTGCAAATCGCTTCTTGCATTGAACTGTGCCTGTTGCAATGCTCTCGATAAAGCTGGCTTGAGACAGCTTCAGAAAAGTTCGGCCATCATCACTCGGGTGCAAACTGATCTGCTTGCCCTTGAATGTCAGGGGGTTGCTCAATGTCAACTCTTCTTGCGATCCCCATCGAAACAAATCTGTCAACTCTGAGCGGTTCCAGCGGCTGTCGTGGCACAACAGAAAATCATCAACATATGCCACCATCAATGCAACCAATGTTTCACGCTCTTGACCGGGCAATTTGCTGTACTTGTAAAAACACATGCGGTCGAGGCTGTGCTGCGTGAAGCCTGCTTCCTCAGTGACTTTCTTCACAACGTGGAGTCCCCAAGTTCGTGGTGCATTGGAGAGCCCATAGATGTTGCCGTTCACCAAGTAGAGCTTGGACTTGAAGGTTCCAGCTCTGGCGGTCACGCCATCTTGTGGCGGTATGAGGTACAACGGCTGGCTTCTCTTCTCTGGGGTGCCTTGAAGGAAGGCGGTTTTGACGTCTCCTCCCCAGAGACACCATTTTGCACTGCCATCCATGAACATCATGTTGAGGCCGCTAACGAAGACAGCGTAAACCAGATATTCGCACTGCCTGGTGGGTGTAGCTGACTCACGGCTCAACTCATGGAGATCTGGGTCACAGTGGGCGAGTGCTACCACTCTACACTTCGCACGAAGTGGTGGAACACCTTTTGACTTGTCCCTGTATGCTGCTCTCGCTCGAAGGATGCGTTTGCGCAGCTGGGGATCTGACATGATCCTGTCGGCCTCCTTGTCATCGAGAGGGATGACGGAGTTGAACTGCTTCCAGGATGTTTCCTCGGCTTGAGCACTCTCGATGAACTTGGCAATGTTTTCTTGGCTCATCTGGAGGATTGCCTGCCAAGGTATCTCCTTGTCATATGCTTTGTGCTCCTGTCTTGTCATCTTCCTGTCATTGGCCGAGGATGGCTTGGAAGGTGTGCCGAGGTGTCCTTGTGTCATGTCATCGGCCGATGCCTCGGAGTCTGATGACTCGCCGGTGCCCATGTAGTCGGCAGTGGCCCTGTAGGCTCTGAAGGCGTGCTTCTGTGGCCATGGAAGTGCGACGTGTTCTGTGCCGTCACTGTGGTTTTGCTTCAGCTGTATGCCATCTGGAGTGACCTCCAGGCTGCTGATGTGTGCTGGGTGCTGTGGCTCATACCAAAGCTCTGTGATGTGGTCTTCGGGAGAATTGCGGATGATCTGGTTGTCATCCTCATCGTCATAAGGCTTGTCCCAAATGACGGTGCCGTGTGGGTAAGTGAGTACCCTGCGGTGCCGGATCCGGTTCTTCGGCGGACCAGCGTAGTGCGTGGTTTGCAATGCATGTGAGGCGATGTCTCGCCTGGCCCAAACCTTGAGGTTACCTGAGGTTCGAGCGATCTTTTGGTATCCTTGCAGGTGGTAGCTGTTGTCACCAATCTGCAGCTGCCGTGTGTGTTTTGCTATCAATGCTCTGTATGCTGAAGGTTGTTCCGGCAGTGGTTGTGTCATCTCACTGCTGCTTCTCTTGCCACCGAGTTCAGGTGGCGTGGAAGGTGCAACCTGTGTCAGCGGGTTGTCAGGAAGTGATTCGATGTCAATCACCTCTGATGTTGTAGTCCTTGGCTGCATGGCGGAAGCTGTTGCTTCGGCCTGTCCTGGTTGTGATCCATGAAGTGGAGTGCCAGGATGTGCAAGGCTCGGTGTTCTGGAAGCTGGTTTGTCTTCCAGTGCTGGTGTTGTAGGTCCTGCTTCAAGTGCTTTGGTCCTCGGTGTACGGGACCGGTGTTGTTTGCGTACCGGCACGTTGACCGCCGGTTCCATCCATTGTTCAGGTGTCATCCCAAAGGGGTTCTGGCCTGTGTGGATGACGGTCTGTCGGTATGTCGGTGAGTTCACGTTCAGGTGATATTCCACCTGAGGTGCTTGCTGGTATGGGTCTGTCTGTACTGCCTCTTCTGCCTGCTCTGCTGCAGCTGTCTGTGGTTGCGCTGCCGCTGCGGGCTGTGGCTGAGTGGCTGGTACTATAAAAGGTAAGGATGAGAGCGGTAGATCCAGTGCTGGCTCGAATGGGTCTTGTCCCAAGGGCTGCTCTGGGTCTTCCGGTGGTTCTGGTATGGTTTCGTCTTGGATCTGGTTCTCCTGCAGGTTCTCGGATGCCTGCCGAAGTTGCTTGATCTGGTCGTAGTCCGGGTTCCATTGTTCGAAGCCCCGGGCAATGCGCAGCTGGTGAGGTGCTACGCGGACCGTGTTGGTCCCGGCTTGTAGCCAAAAGCTCTTGCCATCCGGGTCTCGGCCTAAGAGGCGGGCCAGTTTGTAGCCACCCCTTTTACGGCCGCTCTTGGCGGTCCACCGCCAGTAGGCCACGGTGGATCCGATCTCTGGAATGTCTCCAGAGTCTGGTGCTGTGTTCTTCAAGAGTGCTCTCCTGAAGGTGCTGTCGATGGCCATAGCTGCAATCTGCTGTTGTGCTTCTGCCCGGATGCTGTCTGCAAATTGTTGTGCTTGTGCTTGTGTATGCCCAGTGACCAGGCCATGTGCGTCACTGAGCAGGTTGATCCCTTGTCTCGGGATTCTGCCGAAGGCTGCTACGTAAGGTGGTCTGCCGGTTGACCATGTGCAGCTGTTCTTGGCGTAGGCTGTCATGGCAGTGACGACCTGCATTTGGTCTCTGCCTGTGATGCCGTGGTAGTCAATGATTCTTTCCATGATGGTGCGGTATGTGTGGTTGTGTCGTTCGATCAGTCCGATCTTGTGGTGTGCTTCGGCGGGGACGTAGTCCATGTAGACTCCAGCTTCTTCCATGTCCCGCTCAAAGCTTGAGCGGAAGCTGCCGTCGGGGTCGGTTCGTAACCGAAGTGGATAGCCAAAGCTGCGGCACCATCCAAGTTGGAACTGTTCTGACACGTGCTCTGGTGTCCTATTGTCCAGCAAAATGCCGATGTGAAGGTGTGTTGCTTCATCAATGACACCGAGCATCATGTAGTTGGTAGACTTGATGTCTCTGACATAGATGATGTCCATCTGAAGTCGATCTCCAAACTGGGAAGCTCCGTCTTCATTCTGGAGTTGTCCTCCAGGAACTGGTCGTGGAAGTGGTCTGGTGCGTTCACAGCTGTTGCACTTCATGTGGTCCAAGGCTGAGTACACAGCTTGGTTGCGAACTCCGTTCATCGCAAGGAGCTTCTTCAACTCGGGCGTGCTTGGGTGGCCCAAGTTCTTGTGGAGTCGTCGTAGTGCTAGTTTTATCTCTGGGGAGATCTTGGCGTCTGATGCAAACTGGATCTCCTTCTCTTCCAGTGGAACTAGTCTGAGCGGGTTGTCCTCAGGCTGTCCATCGGGAGGTTGTTGATCCTGAGGTAATCCTTGCAGTGGATCTTGTGTGTCCTCTGCTGTTGC